GAAATGACCAGACCACTTGATCTGCCTCCTGAGAAACTTGTACACAGGTCAAGAAGCAACAGTTAGAAACAACGACCTGGTTCCAAATTGGGGAAGGAGCATGTCAAGGCTGTATGCTGTCACCTTGCTTATTTAACTTATATGCTGGAATCAAGATTGCCAGGAGAAATATCAATAACCTCAGATTTGCAGATGATACCACTCTTGTGGCAGAAAGTGAAGAGGAACTAAGAGCTTGATGAAAGTGAAAGAGGAGAGTGAAAAAGTTGGGTTAAAACTGAACATTCAGAAAACTAAGATCATGGCATCCAGTCCCATCACTTTATAGCAAACAGATGGAGAAACAGTGGAAACAGTCGGAGCCTTTATTTTCTTGAGCTCCAAAATGACTGCAGATGGTGATTGCAGCCATGAAACTAAAAGACGCTTGCTCCTTGGAAGAAAAGCTATGACCAACCTAGACAGCATATTAAAAAGGAGAGATATTACTTTGCTGACAAAGGCCCACCTAGTCAAAGCCACGGTTTTTCCAGTTCAGTTTAGTTGCTCAGTCATGTCCGACTCTTTGCGATCCCATGGACTGCAACACACCAGGCCTCCCTGTCTATCACCAGCTTCTGGAGTTTACTCAAACTCATGTCCATTGTGGAGAAGGAAATGGCAACCCACTCCAGTACTCCTGCCTGGAAATCCCAGGGACGGAGGAGCCTTGTAGGCTACAGTCCATGGGGTTGCAAAGAGTCGGACACGGCTGAGCGATTTCATTTTCATTTTTCACTTTAAGGCATTGGAGAAGAAAATGGCAACCACTCTAGTGTTCTTGCCTGGAGAATCCCAGGGACGGGGGGAGCCTGGTGGGCTGCTGTCTTTGGGGTCGCACAGAATCAGACACAACTGAAGTGACTTAGCAGCAGCAGCAGCATGTCCATTGAGTCGGTAATGCCATCTAACCATCTCATCCTCTTCTCCTCCTGCCTTCAATCTTTCCCAGCATCAGGGTATTTTCAAATGAATCAGTTCTTCACATCAGGTGGCCAAAATACTGGAGTTTCAGCTTCAACATCAGTCCTTCCAGTAGTCATGTATGGATGTGAGAGTTGGACTATAAAGGAAGCTGAGTGCCAAAGAATTGATGCTTTTGAACTGTGGTGTTAGAGAAGACTCTTGTAGAGTCCCTTGGACTGAAAGGAGATCCAACCAGTCAATCCTAAAAGAAATCAGTCCTGAATGATTTCTTTTAGGAATGATGCTGAAGCTGAAGCCCCAATACTTTGGCCACCTGATGCAATAAACTGACTCACTGGAAAAGACCCTGATCCTGGGAAAGATTGAAGGCAGGAGGAGAGGGGGATGACAGAGGATTTGATGGTTGGATGGTATCACCAACTCAATGCACATGAGTTTGAGCAAGCTCTGGGAGTTGGTGATGGACAAGGAAAAGCCTGGCATGCTGCAGTCCACGGGTCACAAAGAATCAGACATGACTGAGTGATTGAACTGAACTAAAAACATAACAAATACTATAAAAAAGATCCTCGTCTCTTAGGGATGAGAGGGTCAGGCAAGACAACTATGAAAGCAATAAGAGGATTACTAGTAAATGCCATATGTGATGAAAAAGTTAAAAAGACTAAACAGAAATGTATTAAAATTGTATTTGTGGAGTTAGAGTGCAAATTAAGATATGCTCAATGTTTACAAAATAAAAGTGTTGATAAGCTATAACAGTTTTTTGATGGCTTCATTTCATATCAATATTAGAGGTAGAAAACAACTATAGAATGTGTTAAAATTTTAAGTGGTAATATCCCAAGGAGATAGAATTCTTCAAGCTAATTTTTATATCATATGTTATACACTAAGATTTCTTAATAATGATAACATCAAGGATATATAAACTAATGAACTTCAACAGGAAAAAGGTTATATGATTAAGAGATAAAGAAATCAGTACAGAAATCTAATTAAGGAAGATTTGTTCTGAGCTTAGGTCTGAGTGCATTAAGTGAAAAGTAAACATTACTGGTCATGGCCCCAAGACAGCAAGACAACAAATATTAATTTATCTGTCACTGGCTTTATGTGGATGATCTAAAGAGCCGTGTCAGCCAGAAAACAAAACTGCATTAGCTACTGAAGATCACCAAGAATTTAATGACATGCAAATATAGACAATTACCAATTTAAACAATGGTGAGAGGACAGCTTGCTGAGAGAATCAAATTCTAGATCAAGCATAAGGGAATGCCTTGATTTCTTATAATGGAGAATTAACTGTATAACAAAAATACATTAAAGAAAATACCAAACATGCAGAGCTATAGGAAAACACCACAAATTCTATGAATGTAACTCAATTTAAGCAAAAAATTAAGAAACAATTATTTTAGAAGCTTCCTTCTTATAGTCACATATACAATTGTTATAGAGTTGATTATATATTAGAATAATTTTTACCATATATTCTTAAATGAACAGGTAAGACCCACAATTTGACTCAAAATTACAAAACTAGAGATTAAAAACATGATGGACTGCCTTTAATCTTCAGTAAAAAGACAAAATTTTATCACTGACACTTGAAAAGGAAAAAACACAGCCTAAATCCACAAAGGATCTAACAACCAATTCAGATAAGATAACAAATATATATATTTTCATGGTACTTATTCAGTCAATTTACCCAAATTAGGGAACTAAAATATTTAGTAAGAGTAAAAATACATGATATTAGAGTCACACAGAATAACAACAAATCTCTCCCTCAAACTGTAATTACCTTAGTTTTATATAACATATTGATGCACCATTTACATAAATAAAAATATATATTTGTAAACCCTATATAGAAAACTTTTCTACACAAACAAAGCCTGTTGAAAGAAAAGCAGAGCACTAAAATTCATTTAAATAAAGCCAGTTTTTTATCTTAACAGGCTGAGGGCAGGGGGTTTAAGTAAGTACAACCAACTGCTCTACGATTTTTCCTTTATTCAGTAACTGATGCTTTTATGTACTCACCATAAAACCTAGAAACTTTCATCTCTAAAAAAAGATTACTGAAATGTTATTGAGTCAATCAGCATCCTATTTATCTGTGAGTTACAAAAAACAAAAAGAAAATACCAATAAGGGCATTTCTTTTTTTAATAGCTTCATAAGAAGATTTATATTATGAGCAACCTTAAATCCTCTAAGGGAGGAGGCAAGATAAACACCAAGGAAGAAAGTAAGCCATTATACATATACAAATAGAATAATCCAAAAGACTTAACTTGCTGAAGAATATACTGGTTCACTTCCTAAAATACTTTGAGTCTCTTCTCTAATAATCAACTTAAAAAGCAGCATCCCAAAGCAGAACTCTTCAGTTTTCTGGGACTACCACACTTCTTGCCACCCCAACCCTCCCCTAATTATGCTATGGAGTTAGCTGAACATCAACCATTCATTCTAAAGCAAAGCAATGAAAAGAAGCATAACCTAGTAAGTGACCCAAAAGTTCAAATGGATATTAAGAAAGCAGTACACTGCAAACTACTCTTAGACCTATGCAAATAACCGGCATCAATTTGTAACAAACCTTCCAACCGGTAAAACAGTACACATCACCAGCCAATGACAAACCTGTAACGATGGGCTTATCTAAAACACTAAAAATCTTGAGTAGAAAAAAGTTGAATTCACTGTCCACCTTTCCAAGAGTCAATTTAAATTTCCTAAAACCACAAGCCAATTTCCAAATATTCATCAAATGTTGCATTTATCATCAGCAATCACATGCATTTGCAGACAGACACACACACACACTTCACCAAACTGCAGATTATCTGCTGAAGAGAAAAGTTTACAGCATAAAACAAGAGTCCATTCCTTTTTTCATTCCTTTAAAAACCAAATAACTAGACAATAAATATTTCAATGCAACTAAAAAAATGACCACAGTAATTTTTATGCACCTCCCACCACAGAAATAAAATCTGTAAAAATTAGAGTTTCAAGTACATGTGCATCAGATGCAAAGATATTACATATCATGTAGCCTCTACTTACCTTCTATTCTAAGGCTACATGTAACTTAGAAATAGGCATGTCACATATAACATTCTTCACAAATGCTGGTTCTCAAATGTTTAGCAACAATACGATAAATCTTATTTAATGTAAACATATTTGAAATTCAAACTACAATCATGGCTAGTTTGAACTCCTACATTAAACACTATCTCTTAATAGAGATTAAGCAGTAACAGTAATTCTATAAATAAAAATATTTTAACAAGAAAATAAATATAAAAATTTGCACACATATATTCTTTTAATTTATAAGGAAAACCTCATTTAAATAAGGTTGCCTATGAGAGGAAAAAGGAAAATTAAGCACAGATGAACTATTAAAGGAAATTAACATGTAACCTGTAACTCAGCTGCTACCGTAGTCAACAGACCCAGTACAGTGATTTGCTAATGGAAATACCTATAAGCTGTATTTTCCAATTTTAAATTAAAATACTTTCTTTTGGGTAAAAAAAGATTAAGTCATTTCTCATGACATAAAGTCTCTGAAGAAATTCAAACTACCACTGGACGCTTTATCTCATTATTTATATTATTTGCAAAATGGGAATTTCCTTTCCATTTAACTCTTGCATAGATACCTCTGTTCTGAATCACTACCAGAAAGCAACATGTTATGCAAAGCACAACTGTACAACAGTAACATCTTTCTGCCACAAAACTTATCAGCCAAATAAAGGCTTCCAACTGGATTCAGAGATACCTACAGCATTGGACTCGAAGAGACCTACTAATGAAACAGACTTATTCAGAACTACACAGCTCCTTTAAGAAGGAAATGCACAAAAATTAATAAATCACAAATACATCTGAAATTCAGAAACTTCTCCCAAGTCTTAATATAAAGTACAATGAACAAAAGCAAATGCTCGTTTTAGAAATCCGTAACTCATTGCAATTTCCAAATCAATTAATTGTCTTACTGGTAAACTTGATGGTCTTTCTTGTTGAATTAAGTTCAAGTCTTCATGGTTAGGTTTTCCAGAAGCCAGAGGAGGTTGAGACCTAGTTCCATAGCCTTCCTGAGACATATCCTAAACAAACACAAATATAAAGAAATATCTCAATGAGTTATAAGCTTCTTTGGTAATTAAGATGAAGCAAAGGCTGATCACAAAGTATCAACTTATGTTACTTTAAGTAGACATATAAATATAATTATCACTTCTCTAACACTTTCTCAGAAGCAAAAATAAAATACAAGAAGGCAGCGTATCATCAAGAGCAAAAACATGTATAAATAACAATTAAATTTATTATGCGACCATACAAACTAAACACTGTATTTGAGTTTTGCAGGAAGGTGACAGTCAGTAAAAGATGGGAAAGAAAGCTAGCAATAACTAAACTCTTAAAACAGAGCAGATCAAAAGTTCACATTATTGTTTAATTTTTATTTTGGTTGAATTGCCTTTAATATTACCTTGAAACCATTAAAATAATTAATGAAAACTTTATTATCAACTTTTAAGATGTCCTCTCAATAACCCATAAAACAATACAGTTATTAAGCTGACAATATCTTGAGGTTTCTACAAAACCAATAAACACTCATATATAGAATTCCATATGTTCACATAGCATAGTTATCAAAGAACCATAATAAAGCATAAAACAGTAGTGGGGAAGAAAACACATTCAAAATCTACTGAAGTAGAGAAACTTATTATTAACATGGACTTTCTGGCATCCTCTTGAATACTTTTCCAGGAGGAATTCTGCATGGTTTTAGTATTATGCTGAAGTAATATTATACAAACCAAATATCAGACCAAACTTACTGGGTGTCAGTTCTCTAGTTGTTTAACTATGTACACTTAGTTACTAAACATTCTAGGCCCATTTACACCTGAAGTCAAATAGCAGGACAGAATGTAAAATGCTTATTATTGCATTTCTTAATTGGCACTGAAAGTTGAAGAACCAGTTTCTGACAGGGAAGAAAAAAAAGAACGGAAAATATCACTTGAAAATAAAATTCTCTTCTTTTCCCTGTCAGTTTAAATATGTGTTAGAATTAAAGAAACATTATATACAAGTTTTACTTCCCCTGTTAAATGCTCAAAATACTACTTTAGAAATTAATGGTAATGAGTTGAAACCCTATAAAAAGCTTCTGTTGCCCCACCCCTTTCTCATACAGTATCCACTTGAACTTACACAGCTTCTGAAGCCAAGAAACTTTGGACCAACAGCTGGTACTAAAAGTACACAAGCTGTACAAACTAGACTTAACTAGCAAAGTTTTGGTGCAGCCTGCCTTTAAAGAGGCTCTGAGGTAAAGAGCATGCCAACAATATAGCATTTCCCAAGTAACTCCTTTTCCCTATACATAAATCCACACACACAACAGGTCAAGACATCTAACCTCTAACAGTAGTGCAGAATGCCCTACATTTTTGGAAGAGAATTACACCCAGTTGTCCAGGCTTTTATCTGACAACATTTAGGTGAGGTCTCGAGCACACGCAATCTCAGAATATTTAAAACAGTAGCTCTTCAATCAGGCTGCTGGTAGAGGGTAACAACTGGGCTGTGGGGGACAAAAGCCAAGGCTGAAAGATGATTACCACTCATACACACACTCCACTTGCTCCTGGATCCCAGACTTTGATTTGTTACACAGACTTCCAACTGCATGTCCTGCAGGTTCCTTTAGATTAAGAGCAAAGATTTCAAAATCAAGCAGAGCACAAGGCCTCCATTCAGTGACCTTCATCCTGTTACAAAAACCCCAAGAAGGCGCAAGATAGCCTCACAATGGGCAAACAAATGAGCAGATCCTCACCTGTGCCTCAAACACACATGTGTGCACACGATTTATGGGTAGTGGTTAGATACTCGTTTTAGTAAACTGTTAATAAAGAGGAATGGGCAGGCTCACATGCCGTATGCTAGTAAGTCTTTTAAATTTCATTTTCTCTTTGTAGCTAAATGAACTGATTTCTAAACAACTTGGAAAAGATCACTGTAACTACAGTAAACACACAGTTTAAATCGTGTACTATCCCCTCTAAATAAGCAATGCTGAATAGACTATGAAAGCCATCAGAAAATTTCACTATGACTTTACATGTCACTTTTTAAGGCTTAAAAGTTTAAACTAATTAGATTTCACTAAAGTCTCAAACACTATTCCTAACCACAAGAGGCTCTCAATTATTAAAAATAGATGGAAATACAACAAAAGCAAAATTTAGTGAGAATCACTGAAAATGGAACATGTTCTGCTTCAATTTATGTTGGAACATAAGGATTAATTTAATTGAGAAAACATCCAGAAAAGGTACCAAGTTTTACCCTAAAACAATCATCTATATATATCTTACACTGGGACTACAAAGTATACATTTGGCAGCTTTAATAAAGACACAAAAGTTACATCTCTTAACAAACCTGAGCTGTTTCCTCTTCAGAGCTATATTTATTTTCTGGTAGGTGCTTATTTTCATCTCAGGAAGAGTAAGTAGGAATAAGTAATTTAACAGACAACAAGAAGGCAATGTCAGTATCAGAAAATAAATACATCCAGCACTATATTTTATAAACTAATAACAACAAAGAACAGCCTTCATGCTTAACGTATCACTGCAATCTCGGTTATTCACACATTTAAACCACTGCACACAAGCTTACACATAAGTTCACACATAGACTGTGACAATACACAACTGTGACTATTTAAGAGAATACCGCACTATGATAATACTAGAGCACAAAGGAGCCACACAAGGAAGTGTGGTCTACCTTTCCAGAGTCCTTTATCAGTATTATTTCTTCATCTCACCCACAAGTTTTTCACTATTGATGGATTCTGGCTTTAACCCTCTTCATGTTATAGATAAAAGGTAAAACGGAGACTCACAAACAGCGAAAGTGTGAAAGGAGTCTGGCACAGGAGTGTGTACAATGTGTTTCTAAAGTTTTCACATTAGGCGTTACACTTTCACCACATGTCTAAACATTAATTATCTTGTATCACAACAAGTGCTGGAAAATTCTTAAAAGAGATGGGGATACCAGACCACTTGATCTGTCTCCTGCGAAACCTGTATGTAGGTCAAGGAGTTAACAGTTAGAACTGGACAAGGAACAACAGACAGGTTCCAAATTGGGAAAGGAGTGTGTCAAGGTTGTGTATTGTCACCCTGTTTATTTAACTTATATGCAGAGTACATCATGAAAAATGCAGGGCTGGATGAATAACAAGCTGGAATCAAGATTGCCCGGAGAAATATCAACAACCTCAGATATGCAGATGACACCACTCTTAAGGCAGAAAGCGAAGAGGAACTAGAGAGCCTCTTGATGAAAGTGAAAGAATAGAGTGAAAAAGCTGGGTTAAAACTCAACATTCAGAAAACAAAGATTTTGGCATCCGGTCCCATCACTTCTTGGCAAATAGATGGAGAAACAATGCTCTAAAATCACTACAGATGCTGACTGCAGCCATGAAAGTAAAAGATGCGTGCTCCTTGGAAGAAAAGCTATGACCAACTTAGCATATTAAAAAACAGAAACATTACTTTGCTGACAAAGGTCCATCTAGTCAAAGCCATGGTTTTTCCAGTAGTCATGTATGAATGTGAGAGTTGGACCGTAAAAAAAGCTGAGCACCAAAGAACTGATGCTTTTGAACTGTGGTGTTGGAGAAGGCTCTTGGAGGGTCCCTTGGACTGCAAGGAGTGCAAACCAATCAATCCTAAAGGAAATCAGTCCTGAATATTCATTGAAAGGACTGATGCTGAAGCTGAAGCTCCAATACTTTGGCTACCTGATGGGGAAGAACTGACTCACTGGAAAAGACACTGATGCTGGGAAAGATTGAGGGCAAGAGGATAAGAGGAAGATAGAAGATGAGATGGTTGGATGGCATCACCGACTCAGTGGACACAAGTTTGAGCAAGTTCTGGGAGATGGTAAACGACAGGGAAGTGCATGCTGCAGTCCATCGTGTGGCAAAAAGTCGGAAATGACTGAGCGACTGAACAACAACAAAACATTTAGTAAACATCTTGTAGGGACCACTCCCCTTGCTGCATGCCTAACATCTCACAGTGTGAAGCGTGACCAGGAAGGAAACAGCAGTTATACTGTGTTATTGTGAGGAGGGATGAGACCAAAACTGTCACCTAGCTCTGGTATAACGGCCAAGAGCAGAAGTACTTCTGTTTCCTTTTATAATGAAATGAATAAAGTACTGATGGCAATATGAGACTATGAAGAGAATGTAGAATAAAATGTCAAGGACACTTTAAAATATTCAAAACAAAAATATTCCCATGGCATGCATGACCTCAAAAGATACAAAGATACAAACAAAAGGAAAGAAAGTTGTCCTCCTACTTTCCAGGAGTCCCTCAAAAAGGTTCCTGCTAATAGGCTGTTATTTATTGTTACAAATTGTTCAAGGCACAACCAACTATGAAGTGAATTTAAAACCCTTTTTCTTTCAAAACAATTGGGTGGATTTGTTCTGTACAGTTTATGCTGTGGTCCCATAACAATAGATGTAATATATCTCCTTCTATATCTGCACCTAAATATCTATTCTTTTTCTTTTGTTACACAGTATTGTATTAATTCTGTGATTTATTTAACCAGTCCCCTATTGATGGACATTTAGGCTGTCTCCAGTCTTTCTCTACTTATTACAGCATTGTAATAAACATCCTTGTGCATACAACTTCAGGTGAAATACTTCTGTGGCATAAATCTCCACTGGCTTCCCTGGAGGCTCAGTGGTAAAGAATCCACCTGCCAAAGCAGAAAACTCAGGAGACGCTGATTTAATCCCTGGGTCAGGAAGATTCCCTACAGGAGGATATGACAAGCCACTCCAGTATTCCTGCCTGGGAAACCCCATGGACAAAGGAGCCTGGCAGACTGCAATCTATGAGGTCACAAGAGAGATGGACACGACTTAGTCACTAAATAACAACAACGTAAGTCTCCACAAGGGGAATGTCTGCCAAAAGGCTGGCACATTTAAAATTTTGATGGAGGCTAGCAAAGTTCTTTCAGCAAAAGAAGT